TTTGCTGGTTTACATTAGGTATACAGATTAGGATTTCATTGTTACATTTCCATATATGATTAAAATATATTCCAATTAATCACACCTTCTCATTCATTCGCCCACTGCCTTTAAAAATTATATTCTCCATGTAAATGTGAGGAGTCAAAATATTGAAATTAGCTATTTAAATATAAGTGGTGTAAAGATATAATTTTTCTCAAGTCCTTTATCCTCTTCTATTTAGTAATTCTTTGTAAGAAGTTGTTTTCGATAAGTCATTCTTGAAATGGAGAGTTTCTCAGTAACCTTGTGGTTTAACAAGAAATGTATCTTCTGGTGTTTGTTTTGAATGTTATATTATGTACCATATTTTGAGAAACATCGTTCAGAATTAACCTAAGATATCAAATGATTTAGAATTAAAACACACAAACAAATCCTAATGGAAAACATTGAACAATTATAAGATTTATTCAGGGAAAAAAATCTAAAATATATGAAAAAATGTGGTGGGTAGAAGGCTGGGGAGATTTGACTTATCCAATACTAACATATATTATTAAAGTACTAAATGTATGTATATTATACTAATACAGGTGTCAATGTCTCAGAGAAGTTATATACAAAATTCAAAATCAAACTTAAGAATGTAAGTGGAATAAATGACATAGCTCCCATCTAAACCAATAGAGGAAAAGTATGTTTGAAAAACTGTTAGCTTCAAGCTTGGTGGCATACTCCTGTAATCCTAATCCTCAAAAGACTGAGGCAAGAGGATTGAGAGGTAAAGGTTATCCTATATAAAATAGTGTGTTCACAGGCAGAATAAGCTGAAAGTCCCTGTCTCACAAATGACAAAGGGGACATTATGTTGAAAATGAACTACACAACTTGAGGATGAGGATGGGAGGGGAAAATGGAGAGAGTGAAGGAAGAGATGACCTGTCCAAAAAGAAATGTACTCATTACCTGATCTATGAAACTGTAACCCCTCTATAATCACCTTTATAATAACAATTAAAATAATTTTAGAATATAAATGAAAAAAGTTGCTAAGATATCTGATCAGAAACAAAACGCTCTCCTTCCTATCCTTGTTCTCTCCAAAATCCAAATAAATTAGATATCTTAGTGTAAAACAAAACAAATAAAAATTTGTTTTATAAAAACAATATTAGCCGGGCGCTGGTGGCTCATACCTATAGTCCTAGCTACTCAGGATGCTGAGATCTGAGGATTGTGGTTCAAGGCAGCTCAGGAAAGTCCATGAGACTCTTATCTCCAATAAAACACCAGAAAACAGGAAGTGGCACTGTAGCTCAAGTGGTAGAGTGTTTGCCTTGAGCGTCATGTGATGTACAGCACCCAGGCCCAGAGTTCAAGCCCCCTGGAATACAAAAAATACTAATATTTCTAGGGAGAAATATTGGCAAATATTTTTGTAGTCTTTGAGTGAAGAATGACCCATTATGTTGAGGTTAATATGTTTAATTATATAATAATGTAAAAATGAATGGTTAAAGAATGCATACATGTAAAATATAAGCAACGAAGAGTTGCTTATATTTTTAATATTGTAAATAACAAAAAGTTATTTACAATGCCAAAAGACTTTTAAAAGCTAAGAATGAAAGAACTCCATGGAAAGATGGAATAAAATATTTTTGGCTTTATTTGAAAATGCAAAAGCAGAGGGGTTACAGTTATATAAGTCAGGCAGTGTAAATTTCCATTTGGACAATGTCAGCAATAGAAAAAAAATAGAATAGGTAAAATAGTATCAAATTAGATGTTGGTTTTAGTATTAGTTCCTTCTATAGTCGATGCTGCCATAAATCAAACCAATCCTGTTCTTTTTGTTTGTGACAATAAGGTAAATAAAGCATAAGTCTCAATGGAAAAAGAAAACCAAACCTCTGTTGATGAGTTTATCTTCCTGGGTCTTTCAGAGGATGTACAGACCCAGATCCTGCTGTTCATTTTTTTCCTCATCATTTATCTGCTGACCATCCTTGGAAACCTGCTCATCATCATTCTCATCTTTGTGGACTCTCAGCTTCACACCCCTATGTACTTTTTCCTTAGAAACCTCTCCTTTGCAGATCTCTGTTTCTCTACTAGCATTGTCCCTCAAGTGTTGATTCACTTCCTGGTAAAGAAGAAAACCATTTCCTTTTGGGGTTGCATGACACAGATAATCGTCTTCCTTCTGCTTGGCTGTACGGAGTGTGCACTGCTGGCGGTGATGTCCTATGACCGCTATGTAGCTGTCTGCAAGCCCCTGCACTACTCCACCATCATGACACAACAGCTGTGTCTCCAGTTGGCCATAGGGTCCTGGGCCAGTGGGGCCCTGGTGTCTCTGGTAGACACCACCTTTACTTTCCATCTTCCTTATAGGGGAAAGAACAAAATCAATCACTACTTCTGTGAGCCTCCTGCCCTCCTGAAGCTGGCCTCAGCAGACACTTACAGCACAGAGATGGCCATCTTTGCAATGGGGGTGGTAATCCTGATAGCTCCTGTCTCCCTCATCCTGGTCTCCTACTGGAACATCATCTCCACCGTGATCCACATGCAGTCCGGAGAGGGGAAGTTCAAGGCATTTTCAACCTGTAGCTCCCATCTCATCGTTGTTGTCCTCTTCTATGGGTCTGGAATATTTACTTACATGAGGCCTAACTCCAAGACCACAAAGGAACGAGATAAGATGATATCTGTGTTCTACGCAGTGGTGACTCCGATGTTGAACCCCATCATTTACAGTCTGAGGAACAAGGATGTGAAGGGGGCTCTGAGGAAACTTGCTAGAAGAAAGTCCTCTTAACTCAGTGATCTATGAGTCTGACTTTTAAAACTATGATCATGAATAGTTATCCATTTATACTTGGGAAAAAATCCTGACTAAAATTACCAAGATATTTGAGACAATTTTTATTTTGTTGGTTATGGAGCCTGAAATCTGGGCCTGGGCACTGCCCCTCAGCTCTTCAGCTCAAGGCTAGTGCTCTACCACTTGACCACAGTGCCACTTCCAGGGAGAGATAGATAGATAGATACATAGATAGATAGATAGATAGACAGACAGACAGACAGACAGACAGACAGACAGACAGACAGACAGACAGACAGACAGATAGATAGATAGATAGATAGATAGATAGATAGATAGATAGATAGATAGACAGATAGATAATGAGAAGAAGGGAGGGGAAAAGAATGGATGGGTGGATGACAACTTTTAACTAAACAGTACTTAAGCCATTTGATCAAAGTTAAGCCAGTGAAAATGAGTCCCGTTGATAGCTGGTACCTGAGATGTGATACAATGCAAATGGCACTCAGTCCAGTCTTGAGAAAATCATCAAGCACATCCTAACAGGGAAAGATGCTACAAAATACTTGACCACAGCTCATCAAAACTATTAAGGTTATGTGCTTCCCCCATGGCATAACTGCTGTTTTCACTGTAGTTGATGTCGGTGCCCTTCATCGACATTTTTCTAATTTGGGGAGGAGAAGGGAAATAATACAATGCTGAAATAAGGATACAGGTTTATCCATTGTAACAACGAGATGTACAAGACACTATATTGAAAAAGAACTTTACAACTTGGTTGGGAAGAGGAGTTGGGGAGGTAAGGGATGGTAGGGGATAAACAAAGGAGGAGGTAACAACACTCGATAGGAAATGTACATATTACCTTATATAACTGTAACCCCTCTGCACACTTTTTACAGTTAAAAAAAAACATTTAAAAAAACTATTAAGGTTATCAAAAACCAAGGAAAGACTTGTGAAACTGTCACAGCCTAGAGGAGCCTAAAGACATATGACAACTAAACATAACACAGTGTCCTGGGTAGGATCCTAGCGCAAGTAAAAGACAAAAGGCAAACAAACCCAAACAAACAAAAAAACATACTAAAATAACCCAAATAAGGTATTATGAGCCATCAGTAATAAGATTACCTGTTAATTATAGCAAATATAGCATTATAATACAAGATATCAACAATAGGGAAATTGATTCTGGGAAACTCTCTTTACTATCTTTCTCAAATTTTTATATCTAAAAGTACTCTAGAAATACTCTATTTTTAATGAAAAAAATGCCATCTATTAGTCTTGCTTGTTTTCATGTTACTAGCTCTAAAGTCTAGATTGTGTATACCTAAATTCAAATGGCTGAGAAAAAGTTATTTGTTGCCTTTCTGTTGCAAAAGAGAGAGAGAGAGAAGAAAATACTGGGTATTCACCCTATAAGAATGTGCACAATAATGTAATAATGATTAAATGAGATGAAATCTCTAATTTGTTTATGATAGTATAAACACAAATTGTCAAAAAAAATCCAATTTCCACTTTGTTTTACCTTAATCAACTCCAGGGCTAGATTTAATGCTCCCGATGGAGTTTTCCCCTGCTTACTAATTTGAGTTCTTTCTTTTTTCCTCTTACAGCTGTATACATTCACATATCAATCATTGATCATGTTGTAATGATTATTGAGTATTCCCTCCTTTATAGCACACTTTTCTTCTTTTTTGTACCCAAAGATTCCAGACTCTATCTCAGGCTGATTTTCCTTTTTCCTTTGTAGGAAAGTTTTTCTGTTCGTATGTTAATGGTGTTCAGGTCCCAGTTTCTAGGACCAATTTTCCCTTAGTTCCTCCCCTCCTCTCCACTTCCCCTTTCCTCTCCTTCCCCTCCTCCCACATTCTCATTTACACCCAGCTGGCACAGATTTCACACGTGTAGCAGGTCATCTCTAAGCTCCAGGAGACTATATAATTCAAGTGCTTGATTAACAACGTTTCTTGCATGTCACCAAACATCTTAAGTCCACCCAGGTAAAACGGAACTCCCATGGGCTAGATCCTCCAGGCCAAACCTAACAAGAATCAATAAATCAATAAAGACCACACAAAATACAAGACGTTATCTTGTCAAAAATTACGTCACTGATGTTTAGTTCCAGGTAAATGGAGGAGACAGCAAATAGGTTTTGGTTAATATCCGCAAATGAGGTGAGAATTCAATAGATGCTGGACTCAGCTTTTCTCCAACCCACCAAGAGAACAGCAGCAGCAGAGACAAATGTGATTGCATGAAGTTGCAGAGCTTCTGCATGGCAAAGGACATAGCTAGCAAGATCAATAGAAAGCCCACAGATTGGGAGAAGATCTTCACTAGCCATACAACGGACAAGGGTCTCATATCTAAAATAAACCTGGAACTCAAAAAATTAAACCCCCCAACAACAAACCTTCAAAGAAACAACTGCCCAATAAACAAGTGGGCTAAAGACTTAAAGAGAAACTTCTCTGAAGAGGAAAGAAGGATGGCCAATAGACACATGAATAAATGCTCAACCTCCATAGCCATAAAAGAAATGCAAATCAAAACGACACTGAGATACCGCCTCATCCTAGTTAGAATGGCTATAATCAAGAACTCTAATAACAACAGATGCTGGAGGGGATGTGGACAGAAGGGAACCCTACTGCATTGTTGATGGGAGTGTAACATTGTTCAACCACTTTGGAAAGCAGTGTGGAGGTTCCTCAAAAGACTCCACATAGAGCTCCCCTATGGCCCAGGAATCCCACTTTGGGGCATTTACCCAAATGATCACAAACAAGACCATACTAAAGCTACCAGCACAACCATGTTTATTGCAGTATTATTTACCATAGCTAAGATATGGAACCAACCCAGATGCCCCTCAGTAGATGAATGGATCAAGAAAATGTGGTATATATACACAATG